TCGTATGAACCAACCGCAAGAGCCCCACCAACCAAACGAGTTGAATCACAAAAAAAATTAGCTCCGTGTACTTTTTACCGGGCATCATTAAGTTTTTGTCGAATTTCGGTCACAAAAAGGTATCTTGAAACTAGTTTTTCAGGTGATCCTTGTATGATTGTGGTGAAAAAACTTGAACATTACTCAGAAAATGTAATTAGCCCCTGTATTCAGTTGTTACTTATGTGATTGTGGTGATAAAACTTAAACATTACTTGAACGTGACTAGAAATGTAATTGGCCCCTATATTCAGTTGTTAGGTAATGGACACGGTAAATGCCCCACTTTAGAACCTTTTTTGTTTGAGGTCGGTCAACAATAATGTAAACGGTTTTAAGGCCTACANGAGGGCGCGCAGTTACTGTTACGTCGGAGCGATATGTGGCTATGATCGAAGAGTTTTTCATACCAGAATTGCAAAACTTTTCAGGCTTTAATGCCAGGACGTGGTTTCAACAGGATGGGGCCACTTCTCACACCTCTAACACTGCTATGCCCGTTATCCGTCAACTTTTTCCTGGCAAAGTTATCTCTAAGAGAGGAGACATTTCCTGGCCTCCACGTAGTCCAGATCTGACCCCGATGGATTTTTTTTTGTGGGGCTACCTTAAGGCTAAAGTATACGACACAAACCCGCGGTCAATTGAGGCCCTAAAAGAAAACATCCGCAGAGAAATGACAAGCATTTCAGCAGTGACGTGCCGCGCAGTCATCGACAATTTTAGACGTCGTTTGCAAGAGTGCCGTGATCGCAACGGATTACATTTAGGAGATGTTATTTTCAAAAAATAATTCCCGTTTTTTAAGCTTTTTATGTAAATAAAAATTTAATTCATAATGTAATTAGTTTTATTTTAATAATTTTTTTTCATATCAAAGGACTTATGGGCCACCCTGTACTATGTAGTGATGTTCCATGGGGAGATATTGTTTGAAACGATCCCATCGTCTCCATTTCTTCAGCGCACCAATTCAGTTACGGTACCTGGGAATTCCGCGCACATCCACCGTTCTTGTCCGGAGATGTTTTTTGCCAAGTACCATTTGGCTTCGGAATCAAATGCCCTCCGCCGTGTTAATTGAACATTACGTTCTTCAAATGGGATTTTAGAAAGAGTTCTCATCGAAGGGCAGCGTTTCGGTTATATCCTTCGCGTTTCTGATGTCCTTCACCGTCGGTAATCATTACCAACAGGTGACCCGTATATATGCCTTAATATACCTATGCCTGAAAAGGCAATAAAAAGTGGAAACATTTCAAATTTGATAGGAAAGATGTAATAAATTACATTACAGAGTTGACTATATAAATACATTGCCGACATTGCTCATTGCTCCCCTCCACGGTGTTTCCCGAGCGCTATGACATGTTCTTCTTTAAAAGAGGCTTGTGGAGAGTATTAAACGGTGGGCAGCGACATGGCTCTGTTCCTGGCATTGCTGAAGTCCATGGGCGACGGTAACCACTCACCATCAGGTGGGCCGTATGCTCGTCTGCCGCCAAGGGCAATACAGAAAAACAAGGTACTCACTCTATTAGTAAGAGTCTCTTTTCGTCGAAGTAACATGTACATATTTTTCTGAATAATAATTGCAGGCATATAGTTCTACAAACTTTGAAAAGCAATCATAACGTCGGATAACCTTTTCAGTACAAAAGCCGATCTAGTCTGAAAAGAATTCTTCAAAGACTTTACATTGTGAGCCCGAAAACTGTGTGGAAAGCTTTCTTCGAAGCTAGCCATGACCTTTCAACGTCGGCGTGGGTCGCATCGCTACAAATGTTATGAAAGCTTTCGTGAAAAACTTTGAAAATTAAATTTGTTGAAAAGTTTTGGTATATTTGTTGGAACGAAAATGAAATTCGCTGAAAAGTTTCGTATTGTGTATTTGTTGGAATATTCGATGGAACTCATCAGACTTGTGCTCACAGCCCACCTGGTGTTAAGTGGTTACCGAAGCCCATAGACATCTACAATGTAAAATGCGCCCACCTTCAGATATAAGTTCTAAGGTCTCAAGTATAGTTACAACGGCTGCCCCACCCTTCAAACTGAAACGCATTACTGCTTCACGGCAGAAATGGGCGGGGTGGTGGTACCTACCCGTGCGGACTCACAAGAGGCTACCAGTCAACCGTGAACATTTGTTAAGTACGTATTTTATCAGAAAAATTGGTACCCGCCTGCGGGATTTGAACACCGGTGCATCGCTACACACGAATGCACCGGACGTCTTATCCTTTAGGCCACGACGACTATAAATTACTACAACTAGGGCATCCCTTTCCCGGCAGTAGGAGAATGGATTTCCAACTGGCTTCCGAATATCAAAAACAAATTGGCTACCTTTCTCAGCGAATCATTCTAAATCAAATATGGCTAACGCCTGTTTTGGTAATTACTGTTTTTGAAAAGAACAAATAATTTACTTATTATGATTTGATTGCTTTGGAGACCAGTGAACAGGATAAGACCACTCGAACGATACCGCTAATGCAAGTAACATATCTATCAAATGACGGTAAATAAATCATTAAACTGAATCAAGCACTTAAATTTGTTTGACAGAATATGTTCTTAACGGGGTCTAGTTAGTAAAATTAATTATTATTAAAAGAATCGGTTTTATCACATATTCTTACACCTTAGTACGTGATTGTTTACAGTATAAATTATTTCTTATAATATCTCTGCGGCCCACGGCAGAGCAAACAATTTTAGTAGAAACTAGCGGCCCGCTCCGGCTCCGCCCGGGACTTTACCAAAAATTTCAACGATATTTGATGTTGTTTTATTATTTTAAATAAAAGAACACTTATTGCGGCATAACTATAATAGTTAGACATATGTTGTCGCGACACTTTTGGTAAATAATAATGTGTTCTACAAAGTCGTAGTACATTATTTTATTTTATCATCAATAGTTTTCGCAGGGCACGCGATGTAAAGAATATTTTAGGTAATTTTTTTACTCTTTGAATTACATTATTAGAGTTTTGGTAAGGATCCCTAATTTTTTTCAAAAAAGATTATAGCCTATGTCACTCGGGAATAGTGTAGCTTCCAAACAGTGAAAGAATTTTTCAAATCAGTTCAGTAGTTTCGGAGCCTATTCAATACAAACAAACAAACAAATCTTCCCTCTTTATAATATTAGTATAGATAAAAAATACTGATATAATATATTTACCATCTTTTTCATTACAGATATGTTTTCACGCCTATTCCTAATTAATAAGCTAAACACGTTGCATAAATAATAATTATAATTGATTTAACTATGAGACAATCGCCCTTTGACACTAAATATTAAATATGTCAATTGACTGGTGGTCAACTAAACAGTCCAAAAATGTGTGGCCCGCTGTGATACCTCACATTGTCCTATGTGGCCCTTGACCAGAAAAGTGTGACGACTGGTTTATACCATCGAATTATATCGAATCGGTTATAACACATTTCTGTCTGCAAAGACGATTGGCTTGGCGATTAGCATCACGTTAGGCGCTCAAGAATATCTATAAGGTACTAGCTGAACCGGCAGACTTCGTAGTGCCTCAATCGATAAATAAAAGATCTAAACTTTTGTATAAAATAAACTTAAAACAAACAAAAGGAATCCATTCGACGGGGGACACATCAAAAGAAAAACACAATTGTTATTTTTATTTAATTCCGAGCATTTTCATATTTATCTACCTTTTAAACCTTCCCTGGACTTCCACGAATAATTCAAGACCAAAATTAGTCAAATCGGTCCAGCCGTTCTCGAGTTTTAGCGAGACTAACGAACAGCAATTCATTTTTATAAATAGAGATTTCTTTAGCTATAGAAGGTGTTGCTTCGACTGCCTCTTCGTAACATTTTATGCTAACATGCTAATCTAGTAACCTCGAGGGGTTATTCTAGATTCGCCGAATTAGTTGGTGAGGTCACGGGGCTCAAACCTGATGACGTTGCTAACACGAACCCTAGCGAGTGCCGTGCTTCGCAGAATCAACCACCGGATCGGAAACGCGACCCACTGAGAAGATCCGGCAAAAAAATCAGTAGGCTGTGTCTGTGGGTTAATTTACTTGCCGAGCCCTTAGTCGCAAGCGACGGGTTCGACGATAGCGATGACCGTTGCTTGGGGTACCTAAAAGCACCGTTAGTGGATCGGGAAGATCCGAAATGACGTGTTTTGGGCAACGTCGACTGTTTACCATTTGGTCCGTAGGATCGGCTATGTAGTTACCAGCGGCCACGATGAGAGGGTTCTCGTGTCGTGCCGCATTATCGAAATGAGCTAACATAAGACGTGCTCCATTGTATGTATATTTTTGGTTCCGATGTAAAACTATTATGCTAGAACATTCGATGCCTATAAGTCACGTGGCAAAGGTGTAACCTATTTAAATGATTAAACGCTAATCACATTATACAAAAAAAAAAACAAAGTAATAACCGTTTGTCATCATATTAATTATTAACGTTTAACTTTTTTTATATTTATTAGCCATATATTTTATACGTTATCTGCAACAATGTAGACGGGCTGCAATATTTTAATTAATTTTATTACTACTGATTAAAATGTCACAACACTAGTGGCTTATTGTAAACACGTACATACATCAAAAAGAGAAAAAGAAACTGTAATATATGAGGTTGGTGTCTTTAGAGTTATTTTTGTTCACGGACCTCTGACATGACGCAACTTTAAATTTACAATTGAAATAAGTGTAAGGTGAACATTACTGCATTAAGAAGAATCGAACTATGGACAATCCCGCCCAGACAACTTTCTATACCGAAAAACTATATCTAATCCCACAGCAAACTTCAAACGGATACTATAAGTAACTTTCAGCCGTACAGCATTGCAATTCATTCATTGAAAAATCATAATATTATTGTTGGGTCCATCCATTGTCAGAATGTTGCCATAACTAAACACCATTGTTCATTGTTTCAGGTATCGACAAGGCTGACAACACTCCTACAGATAGCCGCTAAAAATATTACCAGATCATAAAACAAAAACTGCCCACCATATAAAGACATAACAGACATAGTCCGTAAGACTCAAAACTGCCTGTGATAAAAGTATTTAAAATTTTGCATTTAGCTTAGAATTGTTAAGGAGATTTCGCATAGAAAGATTTTAAGGAATCTTTAGAAGTGGCATTAGGAAGATTGGAAGTATTGGTGCACAGGAAAATGAAGGACAGCATGAGGAGTTGCGAGCACGTGCTGACAGACGATGTGGAGTACAAGGAAGTGGTCGTGATAGGTGAGTGTCAAAGATTGTGTTATTTGAAAGCGTTATTTTAAAACTAGCTTTTGCCCGCGACTTCGTCCGCGTGGAATAGTTTGGCATAACCCTAAATTTTACCCGCCTCTTCATTTACGTAGAATATCATCATTATAAAAACACCTTCACAAATAATGCTTTATTTTAGAACAGATTTGGTTAGCATAAAAAACGTTACAGAGAGCCAACCTTAACATATTGACATATGCTGTCGCGGACTTTTTTTAGATCTTTCAAGGGGAACAATTCTCTCATATATTATTTTCGCGAAACTAACCGTTTCCGCAGCGCACGCAGCGGAAGCTCTCAAAAAGGATTAAAACCCCGATTTTGAAACATTCTTTATTGGTGCTCCGCTTGCATTGGTCTTGGTGTGATGTTATATAGCCTATAGCCTTCCTTGTTAAACGGGCTATCTAACACTGAAATATGTTTTCAAATCGGACCAGTAGTTCCTGAGATTAGCGCGTTCAAACAAACAAACTCTTCAGCTTTATAATATTAGTATAGATACGACAAAATTAATTCCTTTTGTCCAGAAACTAGATAGCATGAGTCGACATAATAATACATGCAATGAATTTGCAATTGCAAATGATCTTATTAATATATTAAGGGCGGTTAAGATGATCTTATAGTCGAATGCGCATTCTTAAATAAGCTAAAGAATGACGTTTCTTTTAAAAATCATCTACATCGTCAATCCATACTTGTCCACTGCTGGGCACAATTCTCACTCAATTTGTATCACTGAACTAACATACTTGACCAGCCCACTCTCGCTTCAACGAATAACCTTATTCCTGATCCATTAGAGAAACTGTTAGAAGCTTTAAATATTAGTCAACCGATTTAATATGTGATAAGGTAGATTTCTGAAATTGGTATCTACTTAAATTGTATATGTTTCAAAGGTATTTTAAGTATCTTTTATATGTAAATTGCTTATCCTTATTTATGTGTAAAGAAGCAAAATTTAAATTTAATTTTTATTTAATTTTTATTTATTTTTTATTTTTAATAATAATTATTATATTATAATACTTTGTATTAATTGTATATATATTTACGGAGATATGTATGTGTATATGTGTGTGTACATATACGTATATGTATTTCACTGGAATGGTACACCGCGCGTAGTTCGTTTCCAAATGATTCTTGTCCACCTGATGGTTGTCTGGAAGAGATCGCTCTTAGCGATAAGACCGCCAATTGTACTTTTTGTTTTTAATGTATCGCACTGTTTATTTGTTTTTTGGTGTACAATAAAGAATACTCTCTCTCTCTCTCTCTCTCTCTCTCTATGGGCTTAATATCTACATTGAATAGTCTTCACATAGTTGCATTAAGTATATATATACGTAAATATATGATAAAATAAAGAGCACATGTTCATATACTTGATGAATGGTTCATTTAGAATCAGATCGGTGTCGTGTTACCGGTCCTTATTCTAAAAGTGATCGTTGCGAATCCTTTAATATTCGTGATTTTGAGAATGGTCGTAACGAAAAGTGTTTTGGCTTTAATTCGTAATCGAATGCCAATGCATTCGCTGTAAAGTCTATTGAACAATTTCGTGAATTCATCGTAATGTCAATGATGATGATGTTTTTTTTTAATGATTGAGTGATTACTGGTGGACCGGAGGCCTTTTCAGTTTCACCAAGACAGCAGAGCGAGCAAAGGGCTCAGCCAGAAGGGGATTTGTTACTCAGTAGAATCGAGATCTTCGTACCTATCTATAGAGCAACAGCAAATAAGCTGGTTAATAGCAAACTGAATTTTATTTTATTTTAATCCTCAACGGTATTGAGAGGGAAAACAGTGAATTAAAAAAACACAAAAGTAGACCATCGACCCGTTGAAGGTCGTGGAAATCTGCTATTTTGTTTTTTTCGTCTTCATAGTTTCTGTCAAACACGTTCGAATATTTTTGCTGAATTGTGGGTTTCAAAATATCGTTCGTAACAGATTTTTTATTTACTACACAGCTAGAGCTTTCTATCTATTTAACGCGCCACATATCAGGTACCCTTGTAGAGATATATAACGACGGAGGGAAGATCTTCCACCGAGCGGGCGATATTACTGGGTAGCCCGACGAGAAGGTCCGAATGCTGTTGTTCGGAACTTGTATATATCGACGCTTGAAAGGCAAACGTGACTAAGCGACAATAACTGCTTTATACATAAATGACAGGCAATAACCATATTCGATGCGCAAAAAAGATATTTCTGGGTCTATTAAAATCATTTCAATCCTACTATACAGCTATATTCGTTAAAATAGAATTTTTTTCAGGTATTTCAACTTTAAATTATCTACTGTAAAGTTCACGCATTGTCGCTTAGTCACGTTTGCCTTTCAAGCGTCGATATGCAAGCTTATCTTGAAAATGTCCTAAGCGAAATTCAGGCATCTGTCAAATATATTGTGTTGTATGATGGCTACCGCTACACCCAATATAGTATCCCTATTCCTTGCGACAAGATGTCGAACGTTCAAGAATGGGACTCCGTACGCCGCGTTGTCAATGTCACCTCAATTGACCCACTGTCTGTCTGCTAAATAAAGTTAGACATGACTGGTATTAAATCGCTTCGCGTCACAACATGACGATGATTATTGATGAAGATAAAATGCTTTATTGTTGTTAGGGCGGACAAAACTTCTCTCAAATTCCCGGACCACATTCCTGCTATATCAGCAACAGGACTTCTATTAATCAATTCAAAAAAACATGGTATCTGTAATGCGATTTAAATTTCGTTTTTCGACCTTGTTTAAAGATGACTGCTTTACATCTTAGATATTTACATAATTAGTTTTAATGTTTAATGTCGTCTTTAATTTGTTCTAACGTTTTGATGTCCCATCTAATCTTTCTGTGATCACAATAAATCTTCTGAAGCCTTGACTCAATTAGGAACCAGTCGTAATGTTGAATTGTCATTGATAAAAACGGAAATAATGTTTGTTACCTTTCCAGCCAATGCGTCGATGGCACGGACTGAGTTAATTATATTAATTAGCTATTTGCTTTTTAATAATGGGTTGTTTGTTGGTTAAAGATAATTTTTGTTTATGTAACACTATATAGTTTGACAAATAAAAAGCTGCAGTCAGTTGTAAAGTCTCAACAGTTGACTAGCTAGGGTGGATATACATATTTATCGCCTCCGCTGGCGTCGAAAGAATAGATGACTCGCGAATCTATGGTAAATCATAGCCCTGATGACAACGAGCAAAACCTTAAACCTTAATGGTTTATTCAGAGAAAGCCAAACAGAGATTCGTCTGAAAAAATGTAATCAATCGCACAAGGGTCCTTTCTATCCCACTTGAAGTAGAAACTTAGATAATGGTATTAAATCATAGACACACTGTAAATTTCAGTATCTTCAACATATATGTTGTTCAACTCATTTGAAAGATTATTTTTAGATTGAGAACAAGTCCTACCTAACACGTGTCTTCAACCATAAAGTCTATGAACGTCTGACGTATGCAAATTGAAATTTAGGTTCAATTTTAGTGACAACTGTCTTTTTGTGAACAGGAAATGGGCCCAGCGGTATGGTGACCTCATTCATGCTGGACGGCAACGTACCCTACCTCAAACAGATACCAGAAGACTTGCCAATTGACGAGATGCTCAGAGCCAGGTAATATTACCAAATGCTACTTGTTTTGTGATAACCGCCAATTGTGACTAATGCTTCAATACTCTTCATTTAGGAGCCGATGACTGTGGTTTTTATTAAGCTATTGCATAGATTTTTTAGGTCTTTGAACGCGGTGACCGAATCAAGAAATTCCGTAACGAAAATAAAACCTAACACCCCCACTCCGTCTACCATGTAGTTCGCATTCAACACATTCACACGTTGCGCTTGTGTAGTGTATGTGAATAAGCGCGCGGCGTGACGTCGCACTGCATGCGCATCATCAAAAGTCTGCCCATGCGCGGTCTAGCTTATGAGTGTGAAGGGGACAGTTAATGTTTTGCTTTTGTTAGTGTTTACAAATATAACGTGGTCTTATTTTATTATTGTTTTAATATTAAATTATTATAGTCTAATTATAATTGCAAAAGTTGATAAAAATGTTATGCAATTGCTTTACCACAGCAGTCCTCGAGTGCCACACGTGTTTTTTTGTCTAAACCGTATTCGACATCAAAGGAATCATCGTACACAGTTTTTTAGTATAAGTCAACCGGTCAGTGAGTCATTTTATTTTACGCTACAGCATGAAAAATAACCGAAACATCAAACGAACTAGTTGTGTTGTATATATGCTATTTCTCAGTCTTGAAACCGGATCGAATGACTGCTTCGCGACAGAAACTGGTGCCTGCCTAATTAGTGTGTGAGCCTAATTACAAATTTATAAATTGTGCGGTTTTGATTCACATAGCACGCGATTATTCAGTTATCGTGAACTTGCTAAGTTCGTGTTTCTTTAGACAAAATTGGTACCCGCCTGCAGGATTCGAACACTGATACAGTTGCATCATACGATACTGGTACACCGGACGACTTATCCTTAAGCAACGACGACTCTAATTCTCGAAGCCGTTCAGTTGCAATGGGATGGGCCATCGACGTTGCGGTAGTTATCACTTCAAACCCCGTGAGCCTGCCAAACTTTTCACTCTTTACGCTGACAGTATGAGAGAAATATGATTAAATTGTAATAACTTAACTGGACAGAAGTAAATCTTTATCAGAAAGAAAGGACCTCCTCAAGACTACAGCAACCTATACCATCTAATTGCCTAATTCCTATTTTAAGTACCCTTATTAGGGCATATTGCAAGCCCCTACAGATAAGTGGTGGTGGTGGTAACTGACGGATTGATAGTCCCACCACCGCTGTACTGTTTATTTCTGCAGTGAAGCGACCAAGTGTAAAAATGCCTTTGAGGTTTCAACCGTATCTCGGACAGTAAATTTCACTTAATTCATCAGCAATTTCCACTTAAGTTCACCTTCGTTCCAGACTTTCAAACCTTCCCGAAGGCCAGAGCCTGTACGACGCAGACCTCGCGGAGTTGGCCGAGGGATTGGAAGGGAGAAGTCAAAACCCGATACCTATATTGGTGAGCTTCGAAATTGAGTTGTTTCAGCGCTGAGATCTGAATCATCGCTTTGTGTCTCGACTGTGGGACCGTACTTGCCGAACTAGGGGGGAAATTCGGATAGTTGCTGCGTAAAAGGTCTATCTTGAAAGTGGTGAATTAGACCTTATTTTCGTGAACCTTGCTCAGATTTTGAAAACAAATACCTTCAAAGAAAAACTTTCATATAATTGTTTTGGCTCCGTTAAACTGAGGGGAAGGACAGCAATTACAATACACTGGCGATGATAAGTCTTGAAGCCTATCAACCCTCGCAGAGAAAACCTTTTAAAGCTCCACCGGGTCAGTCGAATTATAACAGATTTTAAAATAATACTGGTGGCTGGTTTTTGTAGTGAAAATGCAAGACTTTAGGTTAGTTTCGTGCGAAATTGTCGAATTTTATTATTAGTGACGATCTTGTCTCTCTGTTTTCCGATCTGCGCTCAATACAAGCCATTCCCAGATATCATTTTTGTCACATACCCTCCAGCTCTATATACAATGAACTGTAAATTGATCGAGGAAAGTCCTCAGTGTTGGAGTGGCTCGGCTGATGTGCCTTTCCATCTATTTGGCCCTATACTCGCCTGCATATATCAGTAACTGGTGGTAGGACCTCTTGTGAGTCCGCGTGGGTGGGTTCCACCACCTTGCCTATTTCTGCCGTGAAGCAGTAATGCGTTTCGGTTTGAAGGGCGGGGCAGCCGTTGTAACTATACTTGAGACCTTAGAACTTAAATATATCTCAAGATGGGTGGCACAGTTACGTTGTGCATGTCTAGGGGCTCCAGTAACCACCAGGTGGGCTGTGAGCTCGTCCACCCATCTAAGCAATAAAAATAAAAAAGTAAATAAAGAAAAATCTCTAAATGAGCCACTAAAGCAGTGTAAGAACAGTACGTGTTGTCACCACTGGGTCACGAAGCTGCCCTACTAGACTGGTATTTACGAGGAATTCGATTAACAATTACGAAACGCGTTACATTGAAATAAATTTTAATCTAGAAAATTCCCTATCTTAATTATTATGAAACGTATTAAAACGTAAAACATTATTGCGTGTAATTTACACAATAATTACCGCAATAGCCTTTAAAATATCGGGTATCTTATCGTCGGGGCACGCGGGGGACATATTATATATCAAGGGCCGTACTCAGGCACCCCATTGCGGATGGGAGGTAAAATAGTAAAAAAGGGCTCGATTATTTCTTTGAGGTTTTCCTGAGACATAACAAAACCGCCCGTAAAACTAGTTTTATGATTTATATTCGCTTTCTCTGTTTCCGGCTCGTTTGTTCTTCTTCATTATTTAAACATTGTGTATGTAAACTACCGTCTAATTTAAGAAATAAAATACATATTAAAATATCATTAAATACAAATAGTACATATCTCGAGGTCGGGATATTTGTTTGCCTTGGTTTTCATCTTCATGATAAGAGGATCCCAAGAGTTAGATAAGCGCCAACCACCTCTTCTATCTATTGAAATATATGCATAATATGTGTGTATATATTTGTATGTTTGCGTGTTGTGTTTCAATGCAACCTTTTTTTTAATTGTGATTAATGTAAAATGTAATTTTTTTATTGCTTAGATGGGTGGACGAGGTCACAGCCCACCTGGTATTAAGTGGTTACTGGAGCCCATGGACATCTACAACGTAAATGCGCCACCCATTTTGAGATATAAATTCTAAGGTCTCAAGTATAGTTACAACGGCTACCTCACCCTTCAAACCGAAACGCATCACTGCTGCACGACAGAAATAAGCAGGATGGTGGTACCTACCGGCACGGACCTACAAAAGGTCCTACCACCAGTGAAAACCTACCATTGTTTCCTCTGCATTATCTTTGGTTGACTGGTAAAGAATTTAAGAACTTCAGCATTAAGTCCGCCACTGTTTATCAAAACATGAAGTGTCATAAATAAATGAATTGAATAAAGGCTTAGGTATTTTTTTAACTTCGTCATTTTCGTGCACCGTATGTGAAATTAATTTGGTTTCTGCAGGAAGTATTTGGATTTTGTAAACTCTTGTAACATGATATTTACGACTCGAAAAAACTGAAGTAAATAATGAAGAGGATACATCATCATCATCATCATCATCATCATCAACAGCCCACAGTCGTCCACTGCTGGACATAGGCGCTCCCAATCTACACCACTGAGCCCGGTGATCATCAAACGTGAAATTCTTAAATGTAATAAAATGTTGCTTCACAAAAAAAACTACAATAAACAAACAAAATAAAACAACAGATGAAAGATAAATATAATATAATCCAAGATTAAGCCGTAACTGACCTTCGCAAATTTTAATCAACTCGTCGATTTATCTATTGCTTTAATTCTAACAAGACTAGGGACGAGGCAATAGTTTTTTTTATTGCTTAGATGGGTAGCCGAGTTCACAGCCCACCCGGTGTTAAGTGGTTACTGGAGCCCATAGACATCTACAATGTAAATACGCCACCCACCTTGAGATATAAGTTCGAAGGTCTCAAGTATAGTTACAACGGCTGTCCCGCCCTTCAAACCGAAACGCTATACTGCTTCACGGCAGAAATAGGCAGGGTAGTGGTACCTACCCGCGCGGACTCACTAGAGGTCCTTCCACCAGTAAAATCAGTGCTGAATACGTCAATGCGAAACCGCTAACGGAATTTTACCATAGGTCAAACAACCCGCAGCGACCAATATATCATAATTTCTTATCTTCATTTATTTATAACATTAGTTTTATTTAATGATAATAGTTTTACGTTTTTTTGTCATATTAGTTAAAAAAATTGTTAGCATTTCAAGTAAATATCGGTTCGAGTCCGCGTAGTTGAGGAATCATGCGTGCAATGCATGGCGGAACTTGCCACTTGTAATCTTCAATCTTGGGTTGTAAGGCAAAATAAAAATGTACTGAACCAAAAAAATAATACTACCTGGAGTCACTACGTTCATCCATCCTACGTTTCCAGAGATATTTTTTCCACGTACCATCCGGCTTTGAAATGAGCTTCCCTCCACGGAGCTTCCCGAGCGCTATGACATGTCCTTCTTCAAACGAGGCTTGTGGAGAGTATTAAACGGTAGGCAGCGGCTTGGCTCTGCCCCTGGCATTGCTGACGTCCATGAGCGACGGTAACCGCTCACCATCAGGTGGGCCGTATGCTCGTCTGCCTACACGGCAATAAAAAAAATTAGATTTTTCGCCCGTACGAAAAGTTTGAGAGCCTGTGGAAACTTAAATATAATCTGATGTTTCGCTACTGAAATAGCGAATGCTGCGTTCTCTAACACTATATCTAGGTCAGCTCGTCTCGACGGTATAGTTCATTGGGGATTTTATCTTTTCAGTAACTAGGTCGTTCACGCCGCATCGATCATCGTCTTATAGTTTAGAAGCACGTGTAACTCGATGGCTAATCACCCGATGTAGTCGTGCCGTTATATCACAACACATAACACGTGCTTATTCATGTATCCACCGAGAAGAATTAACATTGCGTAGATATTATAGCTGCCGTTTTTACAAAAGATCCGAAGAGTTGTACAAAGATGTCAGAGAGCGTTCAAATAACATTTGGGAACCAATAAACGCGAAAATAGATCGTTTTTCATTAAATTTTTTTGTCCAACAATCGCCAAAATTGGAGAAAATAAAACTAATCTAGGGCATTAATCCAACCGGGCGTCCTGGGGTGAAATACGCGGTCTGTTTGTGGTGTTGACCGCGGTAGAGTACAGGGGGGAGTCGTTTAGTGAATAGGTCCCTGAAAACATCCTTGGGCCTGCGGTCTCGCAGCAGCCGGGGACCTCACAGGAGGCTAGGCTCCCGGCCAAAAAAACAAAAAAAAAGTGCATTAATCCATGTTGTAGATGAAACCATTGTAAAATTTGAGCATCACTGAACCCGCTGGGCCTACGTCATCGGGTTACTCCAAGAGCCTTCATGAAGTATCTCTAGTCAGTAAGACACCGCTTGCCTTCGCCTTGTCGTTAAAAAAAACATCTAACAATAAAAACTTTTAAGTGACCAGACTAGAATCCTTGACCCAATACCCATTAAGTCATTCGATCGTGTCGCCAGTAGACTTACACAATTGATCCTTATTAGTATGTATCATATGGCCGGTCGATATATTATTTAGTACTACCCATTACACTGGTGGTAGGTTGTGAGTCCGCACGGGTAGGTACTACCACTCCGCCTATTTCTGCCGTGAAGCAGTAATGCGTTTCGGTTTGAAGGGTAGGGCAGCCGTTGTAACTATACTGAGTCCTTAGAACTTATATCTCAAGGTGGGTGGCGCATTTACGTTGTTGTGGTCTATGGGCTCCAGTAACCACTTAACACCAGGTGAGCTGTGAGCTCGTCCACCCATCTAAACACACTGATTTTCTCGTCGGATCTTCTCAGTTGGTCGCGTTTCCGATTCGGTGGTAGATTCTGCGTAGCACTGCTCTTGCTAGGGCTAGTGTTATGTCTCCTAGGCTGAGCTCCGTGAGCTCGCCTATCAGAATAGTCCCCTTAAGCTAACAGCTACTAGGTAGCGGAAAAAACTACTTAGTGTCACCGCCTAATAAAACTAATTTTTTACTATGTGCGTCGGTGGCGAGGGTCGATGACCGAAGATGTACTCACTTAACCCGACCGCCGAAAAAGAAGGGTAATGCTTTTGAGAGTCTGTGCGTGTGTGAGGGTTTCTTTAATACACCATATCTTATGTATATCTGAAGGGATTTGAATGTAAGAGGCAATACTTTGGCATCTTTACATCATCTCTTTTTTTTTTCTTTCTTGGCAGTGTTGTCGTATTTTAATTTGTTATTAATATTTTTGAATAATTTTTTTTTATTGCGTAGGTAGGTGGAAGAAGCTCTTAAGTGGTTATCGGAGCCCATAGACAATGAAACATATAATAAACACAATAAATAAGCTCATAGACAACGTAAATGTCACCACCCACCTTTGAGATATGAGTTCTAAGGTCTCAGTATAGTTACAACGGCTGCCCCACCCTTCAAACCGAAACGCATTACTGCTTCACGGCAGAAATAGGTAGGACGGTGGTACCTACCTCTTCTACCAGTAAATCCTAGTATATTCCCAGAGAAAAGAAAACGCCGCCTCGTAAATATCTGCGATACATTAAATTGTTGCTATTAGATCTAAGATCACCTGAAATACGTTTTAATACGATTTCATCTAAATAATTTAATTTCAAAAATAAATATAATCATTTATTTATTTAGACACACCAACAGCAATACACACAAGATATTCAAGCTTAAAATTAACATGTATAAAATTAAGTACTGGTATGTAAGCCAGTTACAGGCATGTACAGCAATCTCTTATAACAAACTATGACATGTTACAGCAATTTTACTAACAGGGGAAAAATAGGCTAAATTTAAATGTTAACAGTACGACGTAAAAAAAATATTTGAAAATAACTTGAAAACAAGAGTTAACTACTTGACATTCTCTCATCAATTATAAACAAAGGAACTTGGATACTAGTTTATTTTTGAGACCAGGACACGTGTCGTTAAAAATATCGAACCAGTTTTCGTGTGCTAATTCTTAATCTAAAAAAAAATTAAACAGAAACAGGCACGTGTATTATCGTAAGACATAATTTAGTATTGACCTCTTATCTACAAAACTGATTGATTTAATTACTACATTCTCGTGAAGTCTATAAATAATTAAAACGACCAGCGCTTTAACCTTGTGCGTCGGGTTATTTTAATATGGCAATCGTTTTTGTCGTTCGTTGGCCTTCGCGGAAGCAGGACTACCAACATTGTCGTTTTTAAACGTTTTGGAAATCGATTTAACCGGTGTCCTACGCGGCGCACTGAAGTATTTATGTCGATTTCTGTTACTAAGACTCCTGGATTGCCTAACCCTTTGCCTACTCTTATTTGTTAGCAAGCGGCCCGCTACGGCTCCGCTCGGGCGTTTTAACAGAAATTTCAACGATATTTGACGTTGTTTTATTTTTTTAAATAAAAGAACACTTATTGCGGCATAACTATAATAGTTAGATATATGCTGTCGCGACACTTTTTGTAAATAATGTGTTCTACAAAGTCGTAGTACATTATTTTATTCGATCATCAATAGTTTTCGCAGGGCACGCGATGTAAAGAATATTTTAGGTAATTATACCTTGGGTTACAATATTGGAGTTTTAGTAAGGATCCCTATTTTTTTTCAAAAGAGATTATAGCCTATGTCACTCGGGAATAGTGTAGCTTCCAAACAGTGAAAGAATTTTTCAAATCGGTTCAGTAGTTTCGGAGCCTATTGAATACAAAAAAACAAACAAATCTTTCCTCTTTATAATATTAGTATAGATGTGTGTCTTAGTCTTTTAGGTATGTTAAAAATAGATTCATTCCCAGTATTGATTCGGATTCGTCTTTCCCAGAGTCTACTAGATATTCCGGTGCCTTAGTACATGTAGCCTTAGTACATACAACAGAAATCGACATGATTATTTCATGGCGCCGCGTAGGGCACCCGTGACCTACACGGCAGTCAAAGTGTTAATAAAGTACCAACATGGTAAGTAACAATGACAAAATCGTGGCCTAAAAGATTAGACGTCTAGTGTATTCGTATCAAGCGATGCGACGGTACCGATGTTCGAATCTCACAGATAGGTAACAGTTTTTTTTTTTAAATGTATTACGTACTTATGCTCACAAATTACTTTCAAAAGGAACTGCTATAATAAGAATATGACCGTTAAATATAAAAAAAAAAAAAAGCGTAATTATGGATGCTAGGCCGTGCATACGAGCCCCCGACCACTCGCGCTTATTGCTGTGTGACAGTTTAGCATATAATGGAGGCGTGAGCATACGTGAACATTTGTACATATAGTTTGAGACAAATTGTAAACATTAACAATATAACCCCGGTATCACGCCCACGCGGCCACTATGCTTTTCTCAAACTCATTTAAAGTCAAATTAATTAATCTCTTCTTCTTTTTCTCCACCTTATCCCACTAGGTGAGGTCGGCACTGCTAATTTTTCTCTTCCATTCTCTTCTATCAGCCGTCATCTCAACACTCACTTCTCTCTCTCTCTCATATCGTCATTCACACACTTCATCCATGTCTTCTTTGGTCGACCTCTTCCCTCTCTACCTTGTACTACCATTTCCATACATCTCCTAGTAAAATGCATCTTCTCTCTACGCATCACATGTCAATACCACGCTAACCGAACTCAAATTAATTAATCTATTCACAAATAAAAATCATGACGTCATTTATTTTCTATTTTAGTTTTTGTTACTGAATTAAATGAAAAAGGTGATTCAATTGACTTCCTGAATGCTGTTTTTATTTTATTATAATAGTATTTTAAATAACTTCCGGTCCGGTCTACAAGTCGGAACTCACGGCCATTTTGATTGTCTGGGTCTACACGCTCGCTAGGAATCAAATAAAAAGATCGAGCGAGTTTCGTGTCGCGTGAAATTCAAATTATTCAATTAATAATAATAAGTGAAGCAAAAACTTTGTATCCCTTTTTACGAAAATTGCTTAGACGGAGGAGTATGAAATTTTCCACACTTATAGAGAATATAGAGAAGAAGTGCACAATGCTAATATTTTTTTAAAATAATGCATAAAAGATACATTAAATCAATAAAGAAAACATTGCACACACTACATACCATGTATTTGACTCACACACGCATGCATACTATTTATCGTCAAACTTTTGTTCTTGACGTCTGTTGTCAAATTGAGAATAGATAAAATATTGTTTGTCTTTGTTAATATTTTTTATAGTGTAGTCATGCCGAAATTTGTGATTATAGAAGTATGAAATACAATCATAATAGTGTACAAACTTACAATTCCAATTAATTATAGTCGAATTTCGACTACTGCCGGACCTCTAGTTACAATTAATTTAGCTAGAGAATGTATGGGCCACTACAGATATATTCAAAGAGCCTTGTTGTTCTAACCGGTTCTGTGATTTCACTTTTTGTTTTTAACTTTAGCTTATTTTGACTTCAGAAGCGCATATCTCTAACCGAACAAAAGAAAATATCTCAACAGTAAACCATAGTTTCTGACACTCGCGTAAATCGTGTTTCTTTTATACCAATTCTCTTTTTATACCAGTCTTTTTATGTTTAACGAAAAAAGGAACGTAAATGTAATGAATCAATTTTGTTAAAGATTACACTATAGGTAGTTAGCACAATATTAAAATGTCGACGAATAATAACACTCCAGTCGTCCGTCAACGCGAAAACCGTAAATTATTCGATGTCAATTGCAATATATATATTATTATCATATGGTAATGGTGTAATGGCAATATCAAAACCCGAGATCAAACCGTAAAAGGGGTCTCAGTTATGTTTCTGTATAACTCGATATGAACTGAAGATTTCGCCCGCGCTCACACGCAGTCGTGCAATTTGTTTCCTTAAACACATTGTTTTTTTTTTCCTATCTATTCGAGTAACCTCGAGGGGTTATTCTAGATTCATCGAACTAACCCTAGGAAGAGCAGCGCTTCGCAGAATCTACCACCGGATCGGAACCGCGACCCACTGAGAAGATCCGATGAGAAACTCAGAGGGCTGTGTCTGTGGTTCGATTTACTTGCCCTTCGTCGCAAGCGACGGGTTCGACGAGAACGATAACCGGCCTTTTTTTTTATTGCTTAGATGGGTGGACGAGCTCACAGCTCACCTGGTGTTAAGTAGTTACTGGAGCCCATAGACATTTAGGACGTAAAATGCGCCACCCACCTTGAAATATAAATTCTAAGGTCTCAGTATAGTTACAACGGCCGCCCCGCCCTTCAAACCGAAACGTTTCACGGCAGAAATAGGCAGGGCGGTGGTACCTACCCGCGCGGACTCGAGAGGTTCTACCCGCAAATTATAATTTTGCGGGTTTGATTATTATTACACGACGTCTCATCCTTTAGTCCACGACGACTTCAAAAGACACAGCATCGCGAATTTCAATTACAGATGGACGCTCTTTTGAGGCCTTGCGCGGACCTGGGCGTCCAGGCCGACTCGCTCATCGAGTGGCGCTACGAGAGCGACAAGCAGATAGAGCACGTGGTGTTGGGGCAGGGGCCGCCGGGGGGCGCCTGGCACACGTTCCCGCCCGACGTGCGCACGCTGTCCCCGGCGGCCTGGCTCACGCTGCCCCCGCACACGGACGGCGGCGCGGAGCGGCTGTCGGCGCGGGCCGTCGCCAACTACTGCAGGAGATACGTGCACGCCTGCAAGCTGCAGGTATGGACCCTCGCCACCGCTGCACCCTGGATAGGTTCTCTAGCCACCACTGAACCCTGGATGGGCTCTAATAAACGTTTCGTGAAGAAACATTAAAAATAAATAATAGTTTAAAAAAACTAACAAAATACGCTTTTATAGAAAATCCAACTAAAAAAATGAAAAATAAATTTTAATAAATTTGAATTAAATAAGAGTGCCACGCTTTTTTTTTTACAATAAAATCATTTTTTCTTACACTATGTTTAATTCAAATTTATTAAAATTTGCTTTCTATTTTTTGGTTGGATTTTCTATAACAGAATTTTTTTTTTAACTATTATTTATTTTTCATTTTTAAGTTGATTTTAAATTTTTTCAACATTTTTTTCAATTTTTTTTAAATATTGAATTGTCATCGGTCCTTAATTTTCGAGTTAATTCGACGTTTTGAAAGGGTATCAAAATCATGTTCAAAGATTCCGTTACATACATACGTCTGAAGCTAATAAAACCGTATTAAAAATAAATATTAAACAACGTCCATACACTCACTCATTACCTCAAAAAAATCACGATCAGAACCGTTCCATTACTAACGACCGTTTATTATAATTCCAGCGTTATTTCCGCAACGGCGTGGTCGTCACCAGCGTCACGCTGATGCCGGAGACGGGTCCTCCTTGTGAGCACCGCTGCTGTCCACGGAAAGCCAAGTTTCTGGTCACCGGGTACATACACATTTTGGTCATTATAATTGTGGTGGAACCGTGAAGGTGTAGAGTGGTTACAAGAGCTCACCACCCCCATCTATTTCTGCCGTGAAGCAGTAATGTGTTTCGGTTTGAAAGGTTTGGGCCTAGAACTTATGTCTCAAGGTAGGTGGCGGCATTTACGTTATAGATGTCAATGGGCACCAGAAACCACTTGACACTAGGTGGGCTGTGAGCTCGTCCACACAACTAAGCAATAAAAAAACCAGCTTGAGACGCGAGCTCAAGATCTTGATGGTACCATATACTGGCTGTCCACCCTTTTAGATCAGAACGTACGGTTGCTCCGCGGCAGACAGGAGGATCAGCGCCATTAAGAGTGTTGTTTGTGTGCAGGTACGAGAAGGCGTCGCTGCGTGCGGTCCGGTACGCGTGCAGCCGCGCGGTGGTGTGCGCGGGGGGCGCGGCCCGGGGGGTGTCCCTCCCGCGCGCCGCCCCCCACGCCACGCACCACGCCGCCGCCCTGCGCCGCGCGCTCCGACACCCCGGTACGTGCACTCTGCGAACACAACACTAGGCTGTATGGGCTGTAGACCCTCTGCCATTCAGACATTAAAAAAATTTGCGCCACGTCATGACTCATGCTTAGAAAACTTTTTGGCGGGAACGTGAAGAGCGAATTTGTGTGAATTGTTTTATTTTCACTCCACCGGGCTGCAGGGCGGGATCGATGGAGACAGTTGGTTGACGAAATCGGACGGAGTCACGATCCTCAGCAGTGAGGAACCGATCGAAGAGAGAAGAGAGTTTTATTTTGACTATTTAGAGTTTCTTCATGTTTAAATGTGTTAACAGTGATTTTATTAACTGTTTAGTATCTGTAAAAGTCCACAAATGTGAGAAAATTAAACAAAGCCGCTGGACGTAGCTTCTTGGGATCCCCCAAAAAGTGCACTGAAAAAGTGTCAGTAATTAACCACCATTTTAATAAGATTATATTTCATCCTAAATCATCACATTTCATTTCATGCCAATTGGTTAATGTTTGAAATTAATTAACTTTCATTTCAATCTGTATCATCATTTTTTATAAAAAAAATTATGAAAGATTAGGCTGTATGGTATGATACCTTCACTTCTTCAGTTTCAAAAACAAAACTACTATTCATGTTTAAAGATATTTTCACACTTGTGTAGTCAATAAGTGTTGTGTAACTTTAGTACCTATTAGTCTGTACTGTTACTATTCAATTAGTTAAAAAAAGCATAGAATTTTGGTACGATAAAGTGCTCTGGGACGAGTGAGTCGCCAAGCACACAACCTCAGGGAATATTTCATTTGGTAATTTACTGGTGATAGGACCTCTTGTGAGTCCGCACGGGTAGGCACCACCACTCCGCCTATTTCTGCCGTGAAGCAGTAATGCGCTTCGGTTCGAAGGGTGGGGCAGCCGTTGTAACTACACTGAGACCTTAGAACTTATATCTCAAAGTGGGTGGCGCATTTACGTTGTAGATGTCTATGGTCTCCAGTAACCACTTAACACCAGTTGGCTGTGAGCTCGTCCACCTAGCTAATCAATAATTATTTTTGAAGTAAAACTTCTTTATCGACGTAGGGAGAAAAAACGTATGTAACGTTTTTCGGTTACGCGCCATCTTAATTACTTCCGTTACGCGCCATGTTTTTTTTATTTCTATTTAGTTTGTTATCAAAACATGTCGCTGCACGTAAATTCAACAATTCCTGAATCGCGATGACGAGATGTTACACAGTTGATAGACGCTCTCGTATTTCTCTTGCTATATCTTACCTACCTGGCGTTGGGATACCGTGATCATGCAGGCGGTTCCCCTGGGGTGCGGCTGCTCTATTGCACTGTGAAGTGGTTGACCCTTATATGTTTCACTTCTGCCGTGTGTGACTTGCACACAGACACAAACACATTGTTTTTATCATGTTGCGTTTATTGTGTGTGCAGGGCTGTCCCCGCTGCCGGTGCTGGTGGTGGGGTCGGGGGTGAGCGCGGCGGACGGCGTGCTGCTGTGCGCGGCGGCGGCGCGGCCCGTGCTGCACGTGCACCGCGCGCCCGCCCCCGCCCTCGCGCGCCTCGCCCCGCAGCTCTACCCGGACTACTGCCAGGTGCGTCGCCACCACGCCAACACTACAGTTCAGTTGCGGAGCAGGAAGAATTCCATACAATTACCTCTTTAGCAGTAGGCAGCGGCTCGGCTCTGTCCCCGCCATTACCGACAGTGGTCACTAACATTTTTGTATTAACCCTTTGACTGCCTCGATTTCTGTTACTAAGACGTCGGAATATCTACTAGAATCTGAGAAAGACGAATCTGAAGATACGAAGAATTAATCCATTTCTAAGAGACTTAAGAGAACTAAAACATACACTAACAAACAAAAGAAGGCAAAGTTAGGCAATCTTCAGGTACTTAGTAACAGAAATTAACTTAAGTGCTTCAGTGCGCCGCGTAGGTCACCGGTGACCTACGCGGCAGTCGAAGGGTTAAGGTTTGGCTTACATACAATGTTTAAAGGAGAAAAAAAAAATACTAGCTTGTTAAATAAATTATTGTTATTATAATAAATTATTTAAAGATTTTATACTATACCAGTTATAAAATAAAATTACTAACTTCGGCAGAAACGAAAAACAGAATCTGATTCCTCTGTATCGGAGTTACTGCTTGCCTTACTGCTCAAGGCCAACACGCAAACAAAAACAAACCTTACGGTCTCAGATAAAAGGTTTACAATCCCTGAGACCGGCGGTCATTGCATCTGTGCGAGCGAGACCCGTTATATTTACGCGGGAGTGACAAAGACAAGTAATAATAAATTAACGTATGAAATTCTTCCTGCAACATACATTTCGTTTTCTCGCATTAAAACTGTATAATCTCAAAATGAGAGTGTTTTAAAGGGTTAACATGTGATATTTTTAATATTAATCATCTTTGCAACATTTATTTTTTATTTTGTACCAGTTACATTTTCTGTCTTTTAAAGTAAGATAAAAGTTATGTATTAATTTTGTTAATAGTAGTCAAAATATAGGTAAACTAAAAAAAAAAAAACTAATACTAAACTTCGCTCTTTTCATAGTATTTATTATAAAAATACTGGTGATACCAAATGATTCCGCATATTATCTCAATATCGATTTTTTTTGAAAATTGTACACTTTTAATGCGAAAAGACGATTTATGAACGCTAAAATTCGAAAAATAATCAACTCTATTTTATAATTACTCGTGTTCACACCCGACCCGCTGTGTAACCCGCCCCGTCTGGTTCCAGGTGTACCGGCTGATGTGCGGCGAGCGACCCGGACACGCCTCGCTCCCCGGGTACACCTCCCTCCCGGACCACGTCATCCTGGACGTGACGCCGCTGTCCGCGGACCGCACCGGCGACGCGGACGACGAGGACCTCATCCGGCCCAAGCGAGTCCGGCTGCTGGACCCGCGCACCGACACCACCAAAGAAGTGACCGTGTCGATCATAGGAGCGTTCATCGGCTCGAAGCCGGACCTGTTTTTCTTGCAAACGAATTTGAACCGTGACCGCATCGACATAAAGGCGAAATGCACGTGCGGGCGCGTGGCGGACGAGGCCAAACGGAAAATCGACGACAAACAATTTTTCCTGAAGAACCACTGGCACCACTTGAAGTCCGTCGTCGGTCAGAGTCTACAGAACTGCAGGTCGAGGTACTTCCACCATACAGAGCTGAACGGCAAGAGAGGCGCTCCGGCGGAGTGCGGGGGCGAGGGCCGGTGCTGCGCGGCGGAGGCCCTGTCGGACGGCATCGGCTTCGGCATAGACCGGAGCAAGCCCGTGGACTGCCGCGCCAACCCGCTGGCCATAGACAAGAGCACGCACGAGCTGCTGGCGGCGCCGCGCGGGCTGTACGCGCTGGGCCCCGTGGCCGCCGACAACTTCGTGCGCTTCGTGCCCGGCGGAGCCCTAGCGGCCGTCGCGCACATGCACCGCGCTGAGCGGACCAATGCTGTATTGTGATTCAAATAAATTATTCTTTTTATAGTGATGCGATGATTTTTATTTGACAATTTTATAACGTATTATTATAACACCCGGCAGACTTGGTAGTGCCTCTATCGATAAGTAAAAGACCTATTCTTTTGTATAAAATAAACTTTAAACTTACTCTGGACTTCCACAAATAATTCAAGACCAAAATTAGCCAAATCGGTCCAGTCGTTCTCTAGTTTTAGCGAGACTAACGAACAGCATTTAGAAAAAAAATTCATAACTCGAAAACTATCAAAAATCGCGGAACATACATGGGGGTGATGCGGATACTCCACGACACGAGGGACCTAAATTTTTGAAGTGAAAACTTCTTTAGAATCGTTGTGATTTCAAACCGGATGCAACGGAAAAAACGACAGGTAAGAGACACAAATACAAAAATGTGTAGGATGAAGCCAGCAAAGAATGAGACAGAAATATACATACTATTTAATACAGCGCCATCTGTGAGATTTTTTAATACTAACGTGTGTATGAAAGCTCTTGTAGTGAATTTNTTTTTAATACTAACGTGTGTATGAAAGCTCTTGTAGTGAATTTTAATTTAGGATTATACGTGAAATTAAAATATCAATTCACAGAGGGCGCTACCTTACAATTATTTACTAATGACAAAATTTTACATATACTTAAGACGTTTAGGATAATTGTATTTTAATTTTGGAAGGTTTCAATTCTACCACGTGTGAATTGCACACAGGTATTTTTTTTTTTTTGGACGTCAATGTTCCGGCCACCCTGTACATAAGATTACTGTTTACATTGCTGTCATGCTTTAACTGAGTCGCGGTCTGGTGTTGACCCTAAACAGCGTCCGCAGCGGTTAGAGACGCCGCTCCGTACTACGGTCTTCTAAAATTGAAGCCCTACCCCTCGGTAGGTAACGAAGGCCAACAGGGTCCACATCACACTGGTCCTGATCCTGTACACCGAATGCTAAACAGTTGACGTCGCCCGAAACACGTCATTACGGATCCCCCCGATCCATTAACAGTGCTTTTAGGCACCACAAGCACCGGTCACCGTCCTCGTCGAGCGAATTAACCCATAGACACAGCCCACTTAGTTTCTCGCCGGATCTTCTCAGTGGGTCGCGTTTCCGAACCGGTCGTAGATTCTGCGAAGCACTGCTCCTGCTAGGGTTCGTGTTAGCAGCACTCCGGTTTGAGCCCCGTGAGCTCACCTACACGTTAGGGCGAAGCTGATATAGCCTCAAAGCTATCAGCATTAGTAGGAGAAAAAAAAATGTGATGAGCAGGTTTGTTTGCTCTTTGTCCGAGTGTTTAATAACTACATATGTGTATATTTAAACGTATGTATGGCAGGCTCCGGTACCCATAACACGAAATCCTAATGTTTGGGCAGGACGACCGTGCGTGAGTTGTTCCCAGTTATTTATTTATTTTGATATTGAACATTGGACACTTATTAAAATACTCTAATCGGAAAAAAAAAATTAAAAACATATACACAATTAAACAAATTTAATATTACAATAACAAACAATAATTTTTCACGTTTTTTACACATTTTTTCATAACATATTTACAGTATAATATAAATTACAAAACAAAACTATTACACATTAAATGTACTTCGAAGCTCTCAAAATGCAATATTCATACCGCTCTAAAACTTAATTTATTATTATCGTTACATCTAGACTAATATATAAATCTACAGTGGTTTTTACGGATGTTCCGTTATAAATACTGAACCATACATCCGATTGGCTTGAAACTTGGTATCCGTGTAGAGAATACATGTACTTAATGGATAGGCTAATATTTATATGAGTGTTGGACTACCTAATAATAATGACAACAAATAATAATGTTAATTTTTAATGCCCAGCGAAGCGGGCGAGTACGGCTAGTAAATGTTTAAAGGTATAAAACAGATCCTACGAGTATTATTATCTATACACGATGTCTGTATTCTGGCAACTAATTATAAAATAGCCGAAGACCGACATGTTACAATAAATACTTCTCACAAAAGTCGTCAAAAGTAATGTTATGCCGGTAAGAGCAACGCCATCTATCGTCGAAATCCACAAGTGTATCAAGATACCATTCTTGAGAAGGTAGTGAAGCCCCTTAACAACACCATGTTTAATAATCAAGAATGGTCCTTCCTGCAAGACTCGGCGCCAGGTCATAAAGCTCGGTCTGCGCAGTCTTGGTTGAAAACGAACGTTTCGGACTTCATAGGAGCTGAAGACTGGCCGTCGTCTAGTCCCGATCTTAATCAGCTGATTTATGGTCAGTTTTAGAGAGTACGGCTTGCTCTAAACGCCATGATAATTTGGAGTCCCTAAAACAATCCGTACGATTGGCAGTGAAAATTTTTCCCATGGAAAGAGCGCGTGCTTCTATTGATAACTGGCCTCAACGTTTAAAGGACTGTATTGCAGCCAATGGAGACCAATTCGAATAAGCTTTTTATACTTTAAATTGCTTTATATTTATGTATTAAACTAACACACTGTAAAAGTAATAAATGTATTTGCCATAGTTTTTTTTTTGTTTTCCTTTGTAACAGTATTTATGGCCAGAGTAAGTATAGATAATAGAATACATAAACGCTTAAATAAAAAATATTATTTTCATATCTCAACACAAATTAATTTGTCGATTAATTTTGTCTTTTTTTACCGAAATATTGAATTAATTTCATTTTAAATCTTGTAGATGTACAGATGTACAGATACTAGATAGTAAAAATTAATAATGATTAGAATTATTACTATAGAGAAATCTACATCGATATATTACCACTAGATCCCGCGTAAAGGCGTCAAAAGTAACCAAACAAAACTGTGCTTAGATTCATATTAAGCACTGTTTTGCCGTCAGTGTCACGCCGACCGTCGAGTGGAACGATCCTAAAATGCGCTGTAAAAAGATGTAAAAAACACGTTTATAAAGAGAAAACAACATGAAATTTAGTATTTTTGGTAAGTTNGCGTGTAAATTTTTGCTTTATTTTTAAGGGGATAAGGTTAAATTTGGAATAAAAGTTATTGTAAAAAACTATCTTTTTCTGTCATTCATGGCGTAAAGTCGTAAGTGAATGTTAAAATAATCTAAACTGCACTTTATTGCTTGGGGAAAAGGCATAGTTTAGGTTACAATTATTATATTATACATCGTTTTTCTCCACTTGATGGCGTAGTCAGATCAGTTAGTCGATGCCATTTTTGTGTTTGGTTTTTGTATGTGATGCGTTATCTAGTGGTAATATATCGATGGAAATCTATATAAAACTAACCATTACTACGAGTCAAAAAGTCATCTCCGATGTGTAATCACATCCGATCAATCCGATCAACCCTAATGTGTATCTACAAATACTATTTAAGTATTTATTGTGACTAACAGCATCATACCTACGATATACATTTCCCTGCTAGATTTTTCATGTCATCATTATATTTTTTTAAAGATTCAAGTGAAAAGACCTAGGTTTTTTTAATGTTTTAAAAATAATAAATGGAATACGTGAGGTCTTATAAGCACACTTGGCTCTGTTAAGACTCTACTAATACTAACGCTAATACTTCTCATATCCCAGATCACTGTATCGATGTAACTGTGAATGCCGTGATGCCAGGCATCAGTCAGCTGAGTCTTTGAGACCCAATCTTCGGAGCGGGTGACCATTCACATCGGGTGGTAGAGGCATTTAGGTAGGAGCCGGGTTCAGCCCGGACACAATTAATAATCAAATTCATATGAGATTTGAGACTCACTTAAAAATAATACACCAATTTCTAAAATATAGCCGTTTCCATAGTTGATGATACTCGTTTAATTAAATCAATAAAAACATCATTACAAAATTGATAATAAATATTTGTTTGTTTGGCACATTATATATTGGTTTTACTTAAATATTAATCAACATTTAGGTCTTAACGTTGGCACTGTGGAATTGTTTATGAATATTATACATATGAGTCGACTATTATCAAAGCCGGCAATGTGACTTTTGGACAATTATTGGGAAATCAGAAAAACGAATTATTGACTTTGTATTCCATTGGCAGTCACAAAACTCTTCTGAACAACATCTTAGATAAATAACAGGTTAAGTTAATACTTTATTTAATACAGGTTTTGAACCGTATTCTTTGAAGGAGACGATTATATTCAAATCAATCTGTATTGACATATCAATAACATTTTTTTGTCCAAATGCACAGATTGCCACCTTTGATAATAGACGACTCATATATCCATTTTAATTACTTCACATTACAAAAGTATGTAAATGCGCTACCCTTTTTTAACAACACTAGCTATATCTAGCGGTATTGCCTGCATTGAAAAATATCTAAAAACACAATGGACTAATAAACGGTGGGAACTACGAATAAATGACTTATTATTTATTCGTAGGTTTGGACCTACTTTTTTCCTACCTATTGCTATATAGTAACCTCGTGTGCTGTACCTATTGTGTTAACTGCACTGGAAGTGTAGGCAAGCTTAATGGAGTCAGTCTGGGACTTTGCTAACATAGCACTCACCCTTATCGATGATTGACCAACTTTACACATTAATCACAACCCTTTTATATGCTTTATAAGTCACTAAACACCCACGTGCATCCATTAAATGGGTGGTTCTAGTTGGTTTACGAGCCCAAACAGATAAATTAACATCATAACCTAAATGCCTCCTCCCACTTAGAAACATAGGCCGAATTCTTAATTGGGAGACGACCATCTCGACTTTCAAAACCGGACATAAGTACAATATGCCTTAACACCGGTGCATACTGTTTGTTGTTTGCAGTACGATGGTATAATTCTCAAAGAATGATACTGCTCATTTTCCGGGGAATCGCTTAGTCGCCTTTACCACACTCAGGAAGAGATTGGGTGGTGTTCGTTCAGACAACAAGCCAAACATTGGACAACTACAGTGCAACCTCGATGTGACAAATCGGAAGGGAATAAGTACACATTCGTTAGTATATCAAGTAATT